TAATAACGCGCATAAATATTTACACAAAAGTCAACTTATAGGGATTTGCAAACTTATATCATCAAAAGAAATGATTGTGCCTAAAGGCTATAACAAAAAAATCTCTAATATTTAATTAAAATAATTTTTTTTATTCTTTTTAAAAAATTGGGCAAAATTTTCCCTACAAAGAATCCAAAAAACAGGATCCAAGAAAATATCAACCTATATAGACAATCTATAAAATAGTAATTACACAATCTACCCTCTATAAAATGCTAATTAAATAAATAAACTATTAACCCTACATACAATCCTAGCATAACAAATATTAAAATCTTTAAATGGTATCTAAGAGAACACAGTTTCTACCTATAAACATAAAATAACACTTATTTTTTCCTAGTGTGCAAACATAAGTGTTGAAATACAATGCTAGCATAAAACGTTTGCAATATAAGTGTTGTAATATAATGATCATTCAATGCGTAACATAATCTAGGGTTATTGCAAGAAACCTAGGAATTTTTCATAACTCAAATCTCAAAATTAAGAAATTAGCACAACCCATTTGAGCACCAATCACATACATTGAGACTTCTACTATTCATTAATTCATTGGTCGACTCATTCACTGCAGTCATAAGCAACTTCTACTAATTGAAATAATAACAAAAAAAAAAAAAAAACTTCTACAGCAAACACAATACAAGCCAATTGACCACATCAAATCAAACCTAATTACAACCATGAAAGCCACAACCATTAAAACAAAACATAAAAGACTAATTCAGCTAAGAATACGGAATATGCCTTGAAGACAATCACCCACAAAAACCGAAAAACCGAATCATGGAATTGCAAGTGCATTGAATCTCCTCTGAAAAGCTACCTTCCTTATTTTTGGGGGCTTCATAATGTTATATTCCTAAACTTCGTATATTCCATCACATAGATTCTACAAAGGCAAAGAAAAATTGAACTTATTCAAACTACTTAACACAATAGCAACAAAATTGAACAAATGATTGATAGCAAACGCAACATAGAACGTAATACTAAAAACCCACTTCAAGATTTATTCTTTTTTTCATAGCTGCCAAAAAAAGAGTTTCAAAAACCCAGAGTGAAACAGTTAAATTCAATAAATATACACAAAGAAAACTCAAAACATCAAGACAGCAAACACCCACCAGAGAGAAAGGTCATAATATGTGCTTTAAAACCATATCAAAGCTAACATCATGGAGACACCATTGAGTGACCCTTTTTAGAGAACAATATGCAAAAAAGAAGTCCCAATTTTTACCGGAATATAAGCAAATGACACATGTTTTAGCCCATTATTCTTGATCAGAACTCAATACTATCTCTATTATATCTACTTGCCCGTTCAATCCAAAATCTAAGGTATAATCTAAGAGCATCAAAACTTTAATATAATCTCAATCCAAAATCAAAGATATCATGAACCAAATCATTATTATAGCTCATCAAAATTAAATAATTCCCAACAAAAAAGTCGCATCAAAATTAATAAAATTCCCAACAAAATTAACATCAAATTCTCTATGACATAATGAAACAAAATCGCACCAATCCGTATCAACTCACAACTATTGATAGTTAACAAAAAAAAAAAAAGCTTTCGACTTCACAAAATGCCTAAAAAGGATAAAGCTTTGGATTTTGCTGGTGTACCTCTTTTGTTGTTTTGCTGCCATGGAAATTAAAAGACAATTATTAGCAAATAAATAGAAAATAGTGGAGCATCATCAGGTGAGACACTTTTGCCACTGTGACATTCAAAAATAAGCAAACATGAGAAAAAAGAGAATGAGTGTTGTGCGCAGAGGTGGGTATGGGCGTGGGTGTGAAATTGAGAATGTGTGTGCATTGTGTGTGTATGAGTGTGTGAGCGATGGGCTTGTGTGAGAGAAGTGAAAGAGAAGAGAAAGAGAAAGAGAAAGAGAAGGGAAGAGAAGAGGGGAGAGTGTGTACAATGTGTTTGGGTGTGACAGTATTGAAAGAGAAAGAAAAGGGAAGAGAAGAGCGAGAGAGAAGGAGACTAATTGGACTTGTCGAGTCGTCGGATTTCCAGGTGGAAATAGTTGAGAGAGAGAGAGAGAGAGAGAGAGAGAGGGGGGGGGGCGCAAAGACAGAGAGACGTTGCTGTGCAGGTTTTTTTTTTTAACAACAATTTTCGGTAGGATTGATGGGACAGAATTGGGGAGGGGGGGTTATGAAGAGTAATTTTCAACCGTTAGATCAAGCTGAAGTAATTTGGACCACTCTTTATATGGGTACATTTCCAAGATTCAACTTCTTACCAATCTTACTATATAGATATTTGTTTTGCGCCTTACGGTGGGTTTGACTCTACAAAAATTCAATTGAAATCAAAGTAAACATGGATGAAATAGTATGTTTGGCCACAAAATTTACACTTTACCAAGCAAGTTTTCCAACTATAACCCAAATTCAAACATAAGCATTATCAACACAAGAAATCTATACGATGGATCAATCCTACACTATCGATGTAAAGTAGTAAACAAAGAATCAGATATAATTAAAGTGCTAAACAAATGCATGTAATAGCACCGAATGACTTAAAATAGAATTATACGTAAAAATATAGCATTAGTAGTAATACATTTAGAGGCTGAAAACATTCAAAAGGAATCGTAATGTGAAGTATCTTGAAATAAGCCGATGGCTTAAAAGATCGATTATCCACTAAATTTTAACTTGCAGTAAACAATAAAAAATTAAAGAATCTTGAATAAGTAATAATTTTTTTTTTCCAAAGCACAAATTTGATTCATGAGGTTCAAAAGCTCTTAATATCCCAAGTACCTAACTGAATATCAAAAGCCAAAAAGAAAGCAACTTGGCCTTCGCTAAATTACATCCATACACAAATTAATGCAGATTCAAAACTCAGCCAGCTCCCTGAGCCCTTTGAATGGTGTGATCATACCCATCTAAAAATGAATGCAGATTTAACTCTCAGTCTGCTCCCTGAGCCTTCGAATGGTGCTCCTAACAGTCACAGCGCTTGCAGTGTTTAGCGTGTAAGCACCGCCTGCTTTGACTTTGCCACAGTCTTTGCATCCCCAGAAACCCACAGCCTTCCTCTTCACTGCATACTTCCCACAGAATTCACAGAAGTATTTGCTGTGCTGACTGACCTCCATCTTCTTAATCTGCTTCCGCAGACTAGCCCCATAACGGGTACCATACTTCCCCACAATGCCCGCCTTCTTGGTTCTTTTCGTCATTTTCAGAGAAATCGGTTGATTCGGCTGAGAACAGAAGGTTGTTGGATCCGCAAAAACCCAAACTTTAGGTGAAAGAGAGAGAGAGAGAGAGAGAGAGAGAGAATGGAAATGAACCGTCAGTTCAATAAGTAATAATATAATGTCAACGATAATTATTCCCAAAAAGCCAATCAAAATTTATGGAATAGAACCCAATAAATGTCGTAGAAATTGTTGCCCACATAAAACCAATCAAAACTCATCCCAAACAAACAAATTCATCCCAGTACTAACAAAAACCAAGACGGTGGGTTTTGATTTTTGAATGACGATGGTGATAGTGACAGTTATGGGTAACGACGATGGTGTTGAGCGATGATGGTGGTTAGTGGTGATGGTGGGGTGACAATGGTAGTGGTACAGTAGTGAGTTGTGGTGGTGGGAGACGATGAGTGGTGGTGGATGACGATGAGTTCTTGTGGAGGACAATGGTGGCGAATGGCAGTGGTGATGGTAGGTGTGGTGACGGGCAAGGATGGGTGGTGGTGGTAGGTGTGTTGGGGGTGGATAGTGGGTGGCGGCTGTGGTGATAGTAAAGTATTTTGTAGAGAAGTGATATAAAAGAAATATAAGTTATTTTTTAGGGTTAATTACAAAATATTCCTTTGAACTATGAGTCGTGTTTCAATGAGATCCCTCTGGTTTAAAATTGAACAATTTACCCCCTTAAAGTTTTAGAATGAGCAAAAATATTGACGGATTAGCTGACTTCTGTCAAAAGTAACGGTAACATTTAAAATTCATCTGCCAAAAAAAATACAAAACCATTTGAGACCATTCTACCCTTATGAGGTCGAAAATGACAAAAACACAATTCCCAACCGTTGGAGATGTCTTATTTAACTGAAGCAAATTTCTCATTCATGGCCATGACTGCTGTTAGCCTTCCTCTTTCTTTGTACTTGGGGTTTTTTTTTCTCCACGAAAAGCAATATTTTTTTGACTCTCCCTTCTCACACTCTGTCTCTCCACACAAATACACACCAACCCACAATATTATACATTTTGCTACTGTGCTTACACCAAAAAAATGGCTTCAAGCCAATCATCAGTACATGGAGAAAGAGTGTTTATGTGGACTAAAATGCAAAGTGAAGACATCATGGATAGAAAACAACCCCGGAAGAAGATTTTATAGCTGTCCCAACTACAAGACAGTGGTACTTCTTTATCAACTATTTTTTTCATGTTTCCTCCAATTGCTATTTTGGTATAACCTTTACTTTGTAAAGTGTAGGGAAAGTCATCTTGCAAATATTTTGACTGGTATGAACCAAAGATGACAGACAGGGAAAGAAATATCATAGTTGGTTTCATGCGCAAGACGACAAAGCTTGAGAACGAGATTAAATACTTAAAAAGGAAGGAGAAGATAATATATGCAATCATTATTGTTTTCATAGTTGTTTATCTCATGATGTATAACAACTAGAAACAACTATGTATGCATTGGTCATGTAACAAATGCAATCTGTGAAATGCAAGACCTAATGAAATAGTAGAATGCAACATCCATTTCATTACATACTAAGCAAAAGCACATCGCTGTGTTGGAGGATACATTAGGTCATTACATGTCTAACAAGACACAAAAGATGGGTTGATTTCTAAACAATATTAAAGTGCAGTGCATTCCAAAACAAAAAAAGTGTGCTAACAACACCAACTTAGTTCAAAGTCAAAGCATGCTCCACTCACCTCCCTTAGAGCTGCCTTTCCCATTTTCATCACTGGGATTCTTGTCATTCTTCTTCATCTTCGACCTTGCAATCATCCCAATGCCTTTGGGACCTCTCGAACCAGTACATTCCAAATTTTTTATAATGGTTGACCCCCTAAGCCCAATTGCAGACCCACTGGGAAGTGGAAGTCCACTGCCACTGATATTGATACTCTTCCTTACACTTTCACCACTTTGAATTACAGAGCTATGTCCTTTCTTTTATGGCTACGAGCTGCTTTTGTTCCCTTTGGTTGGTTGTAAGCTACTCCCTTTAATTTGCTGTGAGCTGCTTGTATTCCCTTTGGTTGGTTGTGAGCTGCTGGTGGGTTGTGAGCTGCTGGTTGGTTGTGAGCTGCTACTTCCAGATCCAATAATTGGTTGTGAGCTACTCCCAGTTTTTGCAACACTTCTTTTCTTTCCTGAATCATGTGCCTATGACAAATAAGTCGTATATGTTAGTAAACATTTAAACACATATGTGCATCTACTAACATTATGAAATACATGATAATCTTACCTTTGTTTTAGTTTTTCCGCTACCACTGCCTGCAACTTTCTTTGGAGCAGTGCAAGACCTGGAGTTGTGTCCAAATTTGTGGCATTTACCACAACGAAGAGAATTTTGTTTCTTTCGTATGATATATACTTAGTAATTTGTTTAATGGGGGACCACCAACCTTGATGATGCCTTAAATGTGAGCTAAAATATTTGATCTTTAAGCTCAAACATAGTGAAAGTTGTTTAATAGGGGACCACAGTTAGTGATACTGACATAAAGGTGAACAAAAATAAGTCTGAGTACATGGTTCCCAAAATGCCAGACAAGGAATCAAAGGCAGAACAAAAACCTATACAACCAAAAGAAATCACATGGTTCTAACAATGTCATACAATGAACCAAAAATGTAAAACAGAAAGCTTCAACACAAGATAAATCAGCTGGATTCGTCGTTCAATCAACACAAGATGCTCACAAGCCTTTATTGCACCGTAACTATTACCTTCAATCGAACTTTCGAGCTCAAGCGGGTTCACCTACAATCGAACATTTGAGCTCAATCAACACAAAATGCCCATGGTTCATGCACCATAACCTTCAATCCCTTTCATGTCGTTGCTTTCTTCGCTTAGATTGTGTACAACAAAAAGCATCTCAGAAAAAATAAACAAAGTTAAATTTGGGTTAGAGTTCTATTTATATGATAAGTGATTACCTAACCGTGGTTAAATATTTGGCGCCAATACATCAACCAGGTTGAAGGATAGTTTGGAATTTCACCTACTCAGTCATCTTCGTCAGCCTTTCTGCTCACATTCTGAAATTTGAAGGGATAAATTGTTCAATTTTAAACCAGAGGGATCAGATTGAAACAAAATTATAGTTCAAAGGGACATTTTGTAATTAATCTTATTTTTTTTAACTTTACTTATTTATTTAAGTGGAAAAATTATATTTGACTTTAATAATTAAAATAAGTTGTTTCAAACACTAATTTTTTTAATAAAAATTGGTGAAAGGTCTCATTAAATACAATCAGAGCACTTTTATTTTAAGTATACTTATTTGTCCTACAGTCCATTCTAATTATATTATTTTTATTTATTACGTTGAGAATTGAACGGTTGAAAGATTCGATCTCTCAACCATGAATATGCACGCACTCCGCGCCATCCGTTCAGTAGCAGCTCAGCTCCGATGGCTTTCATTTCTCTCTTGTCGACCTCCCACTCCATCTCCGATCGTGCTGTGTGTGTTTACTTCGCTGTGAGTATTTATATGTGACTCGTTGTCTTCAGAGATCACAAGAGGGAAATGGAAGCGCAGGATGGTTTGAATCTTCAGGGCACACAAAGTTTCCCTAAAGCTCTCTCTCCAAACTCCTTTGAAAATAGGTTGCACAATCAGAATGGGCATATGGATAATGGTTTCACTTTTTCCACAGAGAACTCCGGATACTAATTGCCCGGTCAAATAGCATAGAAAACAGGAAATAAGTGTCCAAAACTAGCTGGCAACATACACAGGAGTTCTATCTTCTGATGTGATTAGCAAACCAAGAAAAGAAAATGAGTTACACTGTGAATCAAGGGGTGAGTGTCACTGATAATAAAGTGGCAGGCGCAGTAAAAAAGGTAGTTTATATAGTGTCATGGATAATAATGTGTACAACTAACAAAATCTAGCATTATGTTTTGTTATATGTTTTTCAATTCAAATATTCTACATTAAGGTTCACTGTTTCGTAAAAATTTTGGATAGTTAACTAGGGGTTTTATTCTGATGGTGCAAATCAATGGCGAAACAATTTTGTGGTAATGAGTCAATGAGATAAGCAATATTCTGATTATTAACGTCTGAACCACTTGGCTCCAGGGAATGGTGCTTAAGATTCTCCAAGAATTAACACAGAGAAAATATAGTGGTTCATCAATTAGGAAGCTCGACTAATTCATTCTTCAATGAAGACTGACTCATTTTCCTTTATTGATTACACCAAAGGTTTACAGAATAGGTTTTTGGTCATTCGGTCCCCCCTTTTGATGGGGCATTACATGGTATTTATAGGGGTGACCCTTAATCTATGGGATCTGAGCCGTGATCCTCGCCATCTATTCGAGAGAATTCTCCTTGATTTTAGGAGAGTATCTTGGTGGTTGAAGATTTTGTGCCTTGAGTATTACTTCAAACCGCCTGTAGAGTTCTTTGTAGTGTCCAATTGCTTCCTCATTGCTTCAGCTTATTATCTCGATTGAGGGGAGCTCTAGCTCTGATTTTTTGAGCTCTGCATAGCTCTAACTTTATGAGGTCTGCATACCTGACCTCCATGTTCGACCTCCGTTCTCAAGCTCCTGCTCGGGAATCATTCTGAGTATCATCAGTTGCCCCCCAGCTCTTGGCCGAGCTGACTTGGGCAAGGGCTGAACTTAGGATGTAACAATAATGACTTCCCAATCAGCGACTTCAAATGTGCTCTAGCTATGCGTTTTTACTTTAGTGTTCCCTCGTCCCCTTTACTTTAAAGAGTGTTGAGCTCTACCTGAAGCAAGAATGCTTTGGGAGTTTCATACTTGAGCTTATTGGATGAGAGTAAGTGGTAAATCTCATCACCAGCTGCTCCTTGCGTTTCATGCTGGCTTTGGCGATTCTGTAGGTGTATGCAGCTAAACTTAGGTTGTGATGAACTGAGAAGTATGAAGCTTAAAACGATCTTATTCTTGAAGGCTTGGGGGTGTCTGGCATAGCTTTATCTTTAGTGGGAATAAGGCTGCCGAGTTCAATTCTGGACTTGGAAACTATCTGGGTTTTTCAGGATGTTGGACTTGTAGACCTCATGGTTCTGCAACTTCTTCTGAAAGAGTTTTTCTTCTTAAACTCTCCACTGTAGGTGGTAGAGCTCGTTGTGATGAACTTAGGAGTTTATCGAGAGCTATTGAACTCATTTATGAACTTAAGAGTTCATCGTGAGCTTCTGAGTTTGTTTTTATGAACTTAAGAGTTCATCATGAGCTATTGAACTCTTTTTATGAACTTAAGAGTTCATTGTGAGCTTCTGAGCTCGTTTTCATGAACTTAAGAGTTCATCGTGAGCTCTAGGCTTTTTTTATGAACTAAAGAGTTCATCGTGAGCTTCAGGGCTCTTTTATGAACTAACGACTTCATCGTGAGCTCTAAGACTCTTATTACCAACTAATGAGTTTGTCGTGAGCT